AGATAGTAGGAATGTAGGATTAACGAAAAAAATGTATCAATAAATCAATCGGAATGTAGGAGCAGCAATATCAAAGCTGATAATTTAGCTCGAAGCGCTCGTATTTCTTCGAATAATATTTTATATGTAAATTCTATTCTTCCGGTTTGGATTTCTAAACCGTTTTAAATGAATTTGCCGTAGACAAAAAAACAATCAGAGTATTGGAATTTTTCAATTGGGTAGTTGAAGATTAGTTTTCTGACTCGCTGGATAATTTCTAAACAAGTTCTCTTATATTTTTCAAAAGATTAATAATTGCTAGCTAATAATAAAACATAAGGAAACAATCAAAAGAGTACAAAAATATTGAACCGGCTTCTAAATAATGAAGCACACCTCCTACGACTAGTTTTCATTATATAAACAGACTATTTTCCATGCAAATAACACAAACCATCTCTTCTAAAACATCTTCTTTACCTCTCTCTCTTTTCTTAACCAAAAATATTAAATAAAGATCTTCTCTATTGAAGAAATAATTAGCCGCCAACGGCGAGGTTTTCCGGTGAATCACAATGGCAACTCCGGCATGGAGTCATGCCGGTCGGACTCATTTGGTAGTTGCTGTTTTGGCACTACTCGTGAGTTTGACCTTGGCAAGTGAACCTTATTACTATAGTTCTCCACCACCACCTTATGAATACAAATCTCCACCACCTCCGGTCAAGTCTCCTCCTCCACCTTATGAATATAAATCTCCTCCTCCTCCGGTAAAGTCTCCTCCACCACCATACTACTACCATTCACCGCCTCCTCCCGTGAAGTCTCCTCCTCCACCATATTACTACCACTCTCCTCCTCCTCCGGTGAAATCTCCACCACCACCATATTATTATCACTCTCCACCTCCTCCGGTGAAGTCGCCACCACCACCGTATTATTATCACTCTCCTCCTCCTCCGGTGAAGTCGCCACCACCACCATACTACTATCATTCACCACCTCCTCCAGTAAAGTCTCCTTCTCCTCCTTACTACTACCACTCTCCACCTCCTCCGGTGAAGTCTCCTCCTCCACCATACTACTACCACTCTCCTCCTCCTCCCGCAAAATCTCCCCCACCTCCTTACTACTACCACTCTCCTCCTCCTCCGGTGAAGTCTCATCCTCCACCATACTACTACCATTCTCCACCACCTCCGGTGAAATCCCCTCCTCCTCCTTACTACTACAACTCCCCACCACCACCGGTGAAGTCTCCACCACCACCATACTACTACAAGTCTCCTCCTCCTCCGGTGAAAT